ACTTTATTTGTGATTTCTAGCTAGGTTGTCTGATCTCAGTCACCCTTTTTGTGAGTCAGCTTTTTGCGAGCACTTGGAAAATGGTAATAGTTTTCCTTTCTTCTTCTTCCTGTTTTGCCCCAGCAGAACGCATCTTATTTATAGCAGATATTTTTACAAATAAAACATAATGGTGGCTGACGTAGACTTGATATTCTGGGCTTGAGGAGAGAGTGAAACTCGTGAGTGGCACCATAGCGCGGCTTACTTAGTACTCTGCCCTTCGCTGCCTGCGGCATCAGCGGACGTCTATCTGGAGAACACCGGAGTAAACTGCAGTCGGTTCGTGCGCCGTGCGTTTTTGAACGGCACCAAGAAAGGTACACACGGCAAACGTGCGTTTACATTTCCTTGTTTTAACCGACGTTCTAATTAATTGTTGTTATGAGTGTCCTTATTTTTCTTTTATTACTTATATTTGTATAGTGGAAACCTTTTTTTTTCCCCAACGTCTCAACCGAGGCTCGAACTGTTCAGACCCAAAGGAAAAAAAATATCGAGCCAAACCTTATTTATTATTTAATTATCACCTTACTGCTACAACTATGTTTTGCTCTGTCTGGCAATAAATGTCGGTATAGTAAGATGGACATAAATCAATTCTTTTTCTACTCTTGGCTAGATGTATGATGACTTCCACAGCTTCGCCATTTAGGCAATGGAGAATTTTAGTTGATCGGTCCGATGACTCCGATAACGATATCCGATACTTCGCCGCCGTCTTTGCGCATGCATCATATCGTTATCGGGTACCGTTATCGCGGGTATCGGAGGTATCGGAAGGATCTACTAAATCTCTAGAATAGCAGGCAACGGCTGCAACGACGAAGCTTTGCTCTACATTCGAGGTAAATAGTACTTCCATTGCTTAGCTGAAAAAGCTCAATGCAGAGCATGAAGCATTTGTGAGGAACAACATGGCACTTCCATCCAGCGCCTCAGTTCAAATGGGGTTCAGCGTAGTAGTCGACATATTGAGTAAGAAATAACGCAAAATGTCTGACGAGACTTTCGAGAGCCAGTATTACTCAAAATACTCAAGGTCATTATTAAATGGAACAGGTTGCAACGATAAGAACTTGAATGACCCGTTTCCCTTTATTTCCTACTTGAGGACAACAATGTTAAAAGTAACGCCACGAAAGTAACGGATTACTTTTTGGGGTAACGGTCAGTTACTTTTATAGGAGGGTAATTGTAATTATAATAAATTACAATCTAGCCTTGAGTAATTGTAAATGTAATTCTTTACTATTTTTCAGTAACGTGTACAAGTCTGCTACGGGGTATACTTCTTGTTTATTTGTTTGGCCATGGTGGTCGAGTCCACTCCTCACTTTACAGTCAACAGTAAACATAAAAAGGGGGAGGGGGGGGGGGGCTAGGCCCTCTAAGGAGTGCTGACAGAGAGAGAGAGAACGCGTAAAAGGGGTGTAATAATCTATTGTTTTGTGAGAGCGATGACCACCGCGTCTCTCGCTCTCTATGTTCTCCCCTCCCTTGGCCTGCACGAATATTGGTGTGGAAGTGAGAACCGATGAACGACCGATAACCCGTAACCGCCACTTTTTCTCTGACTGGTCGAGTTTTCGGTCATGAGTGTCCGTCGTCTCCATGGTCATCTCTTAATGAGATATTAAAAATTTAGGGCATTAAGGAGAACGAAAACGTAGAGTTTCAGTGCATACTTTGCTTGCCTAAGAAACACACATTGTCATCGGAAGAAAGCAGCAAGCTCTAATTCACGGAAACACATCAAGGAAAGCTGGGACACCTGCATTCTGCATTGGTCATGCATCGTAACGTTAGAACCAAGTTTTTCTATTCTTATGAATAACAGGTGAAACACCCGAGTCACAAGGGAGCTTTCGTAGATCGCTGCTTTAGCTCCGAATCTCGTAGTGGAGGTAGACGCTGCTACTGAACATGTGCACCGCTAGCTTTGTTTGCGCGATTCCAGGGATCATTTCCAGAGGCCGTAAGCTATCGGGGTGGCGAGTGTGGTTGCAGCTTTCAATGCCTTGTCAGCTTTCAGGTGAACAGGGTGCACCTACACTCTTTCTCTTAAATACAATATTTTATTTTTACGAGGAGTACCATAATACGGGCGTATGAGAAATGAACAGTAGTGTTGCAGAACATTTTTCAAGAACATCTAAATCGTTTCTGTTGTTTTCTGTATAAGTGTAAGGAAAAAGTAACGTGAAAGTAATTTGTAACGTAACGAGTAAAGTAGTCCGTTACTTTTAAGTGAAAGTGATTTGTAGCGGTAATCCTTTACATTTGAGGCTCGTTAATTTGTAATTGCAATAAATTACATTTTTCAAGTAGCGAGCACAAGTCTGGCGATGACCCTGCCCAGAAAGTATGCGAATGATAGATTCGGAAACGCGTAAGGCCAAGGTATTCCTAGGGCCGGGCATTCAGCAATTGCCCCTAAAAATAATCTTTATATTTGTGTTTGGTATACAACGCGAACATTGCGTGGTTAGAACAGCCGAACAAACAAGCAAAGAATGACGTCTTTGTATAGGCTCCACCGCCACTACTCAGGGAACAAAATCTATTACATTTCCGAAAAAAAAAAAAAAATATTTGCTCCTCTCTGTCCCAACTACACCAGGGATTTTGACGGACCCATTGTACTTTTGCTCGGTATAAGATGGTACTTGGCGCTGGTGTGCGGGGGGGGGGGGGGGGGGGCAATACTTGGAGAACTCGGATACCATTTGTGCCGCCTGCTTCTCGGCGCTGGACTCTACAACCGACAGGCTCCCACTCCGCCTTCTTCATCTGTTCTGCCGCTTCCCTTCACACGCTCGATGTAGCGGCTCCATCCGCCCCGGGTTGTCGGCTCTGGCGAATCACTACGCCTCTTCAATTTCACAATGTTACCTTCTATCAACTGCTCTTACCTCCTCCCCTCCCCCTACTAAACATGACCGTCTGGCCTCTGTCTATGGCTGAGTTTACATGGATGCGATCGTAGCGAATCGAATCGAGATTAACCGCCTATGATTGGGTAGACGAGGAAGGGAAAGGAGGATCGCGGGCGCGTGACTGGTCACATCTCGATTCGATGCGCCATGGTCGCATCCATGGAAACGTAGCCTATGACATACACGTTAGTATTTCCTCTTTCGCAAGCCTTCTCTCGCTTCACTCTCTCTCTCTCTTAAAAAGTAAAGCCAAAACCGCAGTCTTGCCCCTTCTTCAATGTTCCTTTGAACTGAGCACTCCATATTTACATATGATATAGAGTGAGTATCCGCCATATTGACAGCGCACGTGGAGTGTGTATTTGCACTGTGATTTCACTATATCTTATCGTGAGATAGAAGCGAGCCAGCTGCTGACAGACGGGAGGAGACTAACGCTTAGCGGACGAGCAGTCTTCATCGCCCTCGCTTTGAGCCGTCATGATACGAAAGCAACTCCAGAGTCAGGTGCAACAAAGGCCACATGATTGAGGATAATCGAGCTCCCATCGCCGCCCGCAAACCAAAGGCCACGCATCAAAGGTTACGAACTGGCTGCGGCTGTCAACACAGTCGTGTGCATTCCATTTAATATCACGCAAGCATGACTGTCTTATTCTACAAAATCGCTGAAACGAGTGTAGGGGGGGGGGGGGGGGGGGGGAGACTGACAACGTAGATTGCATAAAATGTCTCAAATATTAATAGTTCGCTTACTTGGACATGTTTTTGAATCGTGTCTAATGCGCGCACTTTCCACCCGGTAATTACTCTACCTTTTTTTATCTGAGCCTCTAAGGTACGCCTCTAAGGTACGCGGCATCACTTTGACCTAATACTGTATTTTCCGGGCTATAGTCCGTACCCGGTGTAGAGTTCGCAGAGGCAAATTCGGGCTAAAAAATAAATGTTTTCGTTTAGAAAGTCCGCACCCGGTGCATAGTCCACACGCGTCAGAGTCCGCACCTTTTGTTTAGTTGACTCGAAATTTTTCTCATACACACGGCACACCTAGACAAATGTCTGCTCTCTTAGCTCACAAAGAAGTTTGTATTATATGTAAATTATTCTTAACATACTCTTTCATTCACGAAATCCGTTACGTCTCGTCATAATGAACGATTTTGAAAAATGACAATCCTGTATAGTCCGCACGCGTAGATAGTCCCCACAGCCTAAAATTTCAACTTTTCGACTTGTAAACTCCGCGGACTATAGTCCGGAAAATACGATATTTCGACTGTGATCACATTTCGTGCCACTAAAGCGATACAAGTCATCTATTTTGGTTTCATTTTTGACCGGAGTTGCATTTTAAAATAAGGTTTGTTTTCCTCCTTACTGACGAGTTTAAATGCCAAAGTCGCCCGCAAAGCCATTTCTTTCACGATTCTTGCGACCAAAAGGATGTCGGATCGCGAGAAAATTTTGTTTCTATGTTTTTTTGTTTTTTTTTGGTTTGTGTAAAGACATGTTCTCAAACTTTCAGAGATACTATTCACATCCATGACGTCGTATTACGACCGAGTTTTAGCTCTCTACAATGCGTATTCTATTTAACCTGGCCGAATAACCAGGCCTCATTTTCTCTCATAGAGGGGATGCGCAGCATTCTAGGAACCTCGATGTTTCCAGAAGGGTCAGTCGTCTGCTAAAATGGCGCCGCGCCAGCTGGCTCCCTTCTCGTGAACTTGGGAAGAGGGCAATAGAACCTGACATATCCCGTTATTCAGGAGAACTCGGTGGTCTTTGGCAGAACCGTTTCTTAATAAGGTGTCGCTAATGCGCCGCGCCCGGCAGTGCGTTTTCCTAAAAGTTTAGAAAGCTGTATTTTACCCCCGCCCCCTTGCAAATATAATGCACTATCGGCATTTGATGTCTCCACAGATCCGCAGCTCAGCTTGCAATTTCTAGAATCCAGTAAGTACAAGTACTTCGCGTTGGAAAGCGAGCTTAGTATAATTGCCAGACGCGTGGCGCTCGAATCAACGAGAGTTTACTTCATGGGTATCCGTCAGAGTCATTTTATACACACTTTGATTGGCGGGACGGAAAGACATCAGTACTAGGTATTTGTTGAAAATAGATTTGTTTCTCCTTCTACGAAAAGTAACCGTTTCAGGCATTCTCATACTACAATATCCTGACGATCACGTCGCTCTGAATCACTCGATTCATTCTGCGAATGCCTTTCCCTGTAGCCGTATCTGGCAAGCTCTACAAAATAGTTCTCTTGACTTCGCAAGCTTCTCTCGTAATCGTCGTAGTCGAAGGGGTCCAGGGTACCACCGTACTCCTCGGGTAGTCGGTCACGAGGGATAAGTTCATGAAGCTTCTCGTAGTCGCGTCCAATGAAACGAACCTGAAACAAAAATGACGACCCATAACTTAGTGACGGTGGAAGTGCCGCGCTCCGACACACCTTACCCTTTTCAGAAGCTTGGGTTTGAGAAACAACTTCGCCACAGTGAAGAGGAGCTCGAAGAGTGCAGGATTGTTCACGACGTAGATACCCTTTATCCGCATAGGGTAGCATTCCTGCAATCCAGATGGTAACGGTATTTTTAAATTGAGACGTTGCGGTTAATTTGAAAGTTGCGGCAGAGACTCTATAGTGCCCTCCTACTGCATTCGAGGAACTTCGTTTTATTTAAACGATCATGAAACCTCGCTTTGAAGAGAGAAACGAGTGGATCCCGCCATCTCCTTCTCAGTTAGGTGATAGTTTATTCGTTTCATAATGTTTCTCATGTTTTTAACTTTAAAGCGATGATAAATGCTAGGCCCTCACATGCCGGTTGTAAAATTTAAAAAAAAGTAAAAATAAAGTCATTACTTTAATTTTACAGGTCTCAAAATACCAAAAAAGTAACACAGTTATAAAAAAAACGTTTTAATATCCATAACAGTTATGCTCCACTTCACTTTAAAGTGACCGTAGTCGACGCCTCGGGTTGATGGAGTTAAGAAGTTGTCTTCTCGAGTTTACTATCACCGGCCGGACCAATCCCGCAAAGAAACAAATAGCAGGATCATAGAGTGATCGGGCTTAGTCGCCGAGATAGCAGACGCGCTAAGATGATGAGCGCATGGCAATGCACTTTTGGCGCCACTCGATTGGATCCGCCCGCGGTTTGTAGCGTCATCTGCCTTCAGGCGCGAAGTGAAACGGAGTGAAGCCGTCTAGAGGTCTTAAAGACTGGTGAGTCTTAGTATTGCGTATACGAGCGAACGCAACCACCGTGCGTTTGCGTTACGTGGAACCCGAACTGCGGTCTTGGATTGGTGCATGGAGACGACGCGCAGGCGCAGTGTGGAGCACGCAACGCTAACGCAAATCCATACCGCTTGCGTTTTCCCTTTTGGCCCATCCTGATATACTCTCCATTCGTCGCAGCTCTGAGCTGATTCCTCGATGATGGGACGACCTTAAAAGTGCTCTGACGTCTCGGCTCTCCCTCTCTACGCTTGAGAGAGCCAATCACTGCAAGTGACAAAGGGCGTTCGACGAATGACGGGGCTAGTAAATGTTTAAACCTAAAAAAAAACGAAATACTTCTGCGTTGTGACACTGAGCGTCGCGTTTCACCATGATCAGTGACTCGCCGCGCAGACCGCTCTCCGCAGATTGCATCGACCGGCGCTCCCAAGTGCTATGCGGAAGAGCAGATGCTCCGGACTTCATAGAGTGTATTGCTCTATGGCGAATTACGCTCGTCGTTTCCGAGCAATGGCCTAAATCGCGACGGAGCAAGCGATCCGCGCGGTTCCCCTGCGCCTCTGACTCAGCCACTAAAAGGCGACCTCTCCTCCGGGAGCGTTTAGCGATGGCTGGGCCCCGGATGATGACGGAACGATCAGTACACTGCGATTTGTAGCGGGACAGCCGATTTAGCTGTTGCTGTCTGCTAGTCGTGCCGGACGTGTTGCTATGTTGAATGCTCTACTCAAGATACTGTAGTTCAAATACCTTTGGTACTGATTTGATATCTTGAAAATACATTTGATATGGAGCATTTCCTTCCCCATCTTAACTACATTTCTCAGCGTCTTTTACTTGCTATTATAAATTCAGTTTTGCTATCTTTAATAAAATTTTGCTGGAATGAACCATTTTAGATAAACGCCGGTTCAGGAGGTTCTGGTATAAGAATCCTTTGACACGTACATGCTTAAGCGTGCGAGGGCGCTCGCTCCAACAAGGAAGAAAGATCCTGCTGTCTCTACTAAGCTGCGGTGTTCCTATTGTAGCTGATTTTTTGCCCCCAAGTTTGTTCTAAGACGCTTCTTCCCTCTTCTTCCTATTCCACACATTGTTCAATCTCGGAATCCTCAAGCTCCGTTTTGAGCAGACTGGCGCCAGTTACTTATAAAATGGTGGATTTTTCACGGGTGTAGAATTCGGCACATCCCAGTGCACAGCTTAACCGTTTGCAAACTTCAAGCGGATGCCACCGAACAGAGAACAGCAAATAAGCCAGGACCAAAGGTGCAGGCTCGAAATGCCAACAAACCCCCCCCCCCCCCAAAAAAAAAAATAAGGGGCGGAAAAACATTATAAATCTTTTTAATGGTTGTTTTTGCTACTCGAAGAATGCAAAAAAGTCGTGGATAATTTTGTCTTTCGCCTCTCTATTCTGGCCTCGATTGAACAGAAAGCGTCCTCGACGCCCCCAGAGCTATTCTGAATCATTTTAATCCGATCAGAACTGTTGGTTTTAGAGCCCCCTGACATTCTCAGACAAGTCACGGAAGTAAATTTCTTGACATTGGTAAAGGATAAAATAAGATTTTACAGCGTACAATGGAAGATTCACCAACATTTACGGTCGCAACACGATGAAATTATGGCTGTGCTGAACTGTTGATAATTCCACGCATTGAAATGTAAAAAAAAAAAAAAAACATCAACGAACTTAAAGCGAATATTTGGAAGTAGTTGTCAAATGATCGTGTTTTTAACAGTGAACGCGCTGCGATAGCGGTCGTGCGTACGGCAGAACAGTCGAATATCAGATGGTTAATAAACCGTATTTTCATCACGGCGGAATATCGTGCAAGCATCACCCACACGACACAGCACGTAACGCCATGTGAAATCAGGGTGCATTATAGTCCTTTCCGCCTGTATATTACAACACAAACCCTTAAACTCACTTTTACAAAATAGGAAAATACCTTAAAGCGTACACAAAACCTGGTACAACAGCGGTGAGCTCTGCGATCCGTTTCTTCAACGGTTGGGCTTCACGGGTTCACCGCCGTGATATGAACTATCTCATGTCACCAGGCGGAATATTTCTCACGTCGAGTTTTTGGCCAGACATGTACAAATTACTCAAAAAAGGTAGTTAAGTTAAGTTACTGAGTATCGACGCCAAAAGTAATTGGAGTAGAGTAGAAATTACGCATTCGTAATAGTAATTGAGTAAACTACTAACTACTGTAAAAAGTATCGAGTTACTTTGAAGTTACTTTCGAAGTTACTTTTTTTATATTTTTGTGGTAGCAAAATGAACAGCAGTTTTGATCAATGAAAAACCCTGCGAGCCTAAAATAAATGCAGCCGTTTCATGGCTTGCGGTTTCGCCAAAATAGTTTATTCGCTCGCAGAAGCAATTGACTTTCAAAGTTCTTGATAGGAGAGTTTTCCCCTTTTCCTTCTAAAGACGTCCCCAGCCAAGCTAAATAGACGTTCCACCGACGGGCTGGATGGAACGGCAGCGTTGAATTTGAGAAACAGGCTGTGCAGGGTCGGGTAAGCGAGTGTCGGCATCTTAGGTGTCCATGACGAAACATGTGAGGTTTGCCTCGGGTAGAGGGTCGTTTATAACAAACTTTCCTCCTTTTTTTTTATTTGTTAAGTAGAGATTGTTATGACTGGCCCCTCTTTATTCCGACGTCGTTCTGAGAGTACGCTGAGCGATTGCACCAGACCGTCAAGGGTTCAAGTCTCGCGCCACGACGATGAGATCATCCGGACGACTGCGCGTCCCGTTGTAGTGCTAGTGCTACGCTACTGAAAAAAAAAAATTGTTTTCGTTTAACAAAAGATGAACCGAAGTATACTTCGCCGCTGACGCCGGGTCCAACAAAAGGATCTCCCAAGGGTAACTCGCAATCCTCGCCGGCGACTGCAATATTCTGACGCGCATGAATCGTTTTTAACAAAGAGGTCTCCCAGGCATGGATGGTCGGAAGGACGCGAAGGATTACGTGACCAAGCATCGTCGCTGGAAGCGGATTATCCGTACCAGGGTTTGTGCGCGGGGGAGTCCGGCTTTGCAAAGGCGTATGCGCTGACGGCAAGGCGCCCAGCTGCGAGGTCATTCCAGTGGCGCCTCCCGTGGAACCTACCGCTTGAGTCAGAACTCACTAAAGACAGACAACAAGAAAACAACAACTCTCGGAGTGTCCCCGTCTTTCACGGTTGCAGCTGGAAACGCGGCGCCTGCGTGCATTGCGGATTAGGTCAATACCCGACCAAGGCTTGTTCAGCATCTCTTCCTGCGTTCGTGCGTGCCGGTGTTATGTTTTGGCTGCTCGTCGCCACCTTGGCCCAAGGACGCCTTCCCGAACAATGGGGCCCCTTGTTCGGGAATGTCACTTCATCTGCCGGCGTCTTATTCATTTCTACGCTCAAACTTTCGTGATGGGCAAAATTAGCACTATATAATTTCGAAAGTAGTTAGTAATTTGAGTAGAAGTTACCTGAAAAAGGTAGTTAAATTAAACTACTAATCACCCAAATCAAGTTGTAATTGAAAGGTACCAAGTTACTCGAAAAAGTAGTTAAACTACAGTAGTTTGAGTAGAGTAGTTGAACTACGTCCAAGTCTGAGTTTTTCTGACACGGCCGCAAGCCAATGTAGTCCCGTCTGTTGTAATCCTCATACCGTCGAACTCACAAGCACTTTATAGAACGAGATATTCATCGCGGTCTTGCCGCACCCCGCAGACCACCGCAAACCACTGCCGCCGCGATGGCCAACCAAACCACGTGACACCTGCGCTGCTCCGCACTCCGACGGCTAGAGAGTAACCGCCGAATTCAGAAACCTCACTGTTTCTCAAACTGAAGGGCCCCTCCACTTCCTCGAGGAAGGCGCGAGGGCCGGCGCTGGCCAATCGCGACGGCGGATCCGTCCTCGCGATTGGCCATCGCCGGCCCTTGCGCCTTCCTCGAGGAAGTGGAGGGGCCATTCAGTTTGAGTGTAGTTTGAGTGAGGTTTCTGAATTCGGCGGTAAATACTATGAAGCGATCTGCGGGACAGTGACGCCCTTGGAAAGAACCACCTGATCAAAAACCGCACACCCTTTCCACCAGAAAATCTGGCGGCCACTGTAGAGAGCGGTCGAGAGCGCACAGAAACAGCCACGCGAATTTGCCATCAGTTCTTCGCCCTCGTCTGGTACTCTTGAGAGCAGTGTATGTGGGGGAACGGTGCCAGCCCGGCCCTTTCACGAAAGGGATGGTGCAAGACCTTTCCACGAGCCAGTAGCCGCCGATTTGTGCGAGCACACGGGACACAATTGACGTCATAATCCTCCATTCACGCATAAAGGGATTCTGCAATCATATTTAAGCATCTACCTTTTTTGCGGTTTCCAGATTTCTTGGAGTTCAGGCAAGCCAGCGGGCACGTAGGGAGTTACTAAATATCAATGCGGCATATTTTAACCGGACGACGCGGAAACCTCCTCCACCTAAGGGGGCGACCCGCTGTGCCTAAAGTGTGCGATATATGCAGTCTTCGGTCCTGGGCTTATTACTCGACAGAGCCGCTAAAAGCTTCCTTTAGTCGAAATACAAAATTTAAGTGGCGCGAACCGTTTCAATTGTGTATGAAAGTAGTGTTTGTTCAGTATTTCAAATCAGAAAAGAAAAGAAAAAACGAAGTTTATACAGTACGGACACAAGAAATGACCCATCGCCATATCCGCCACCAAGCGGTGGAAAATGGCGGCGTATACTAGAAAGGGGTAAGGGATCAGCACCGACGAGCGGCGAGCGTAGAAATGTCCCGGATGTACGCAGCGGCGCTGCGGTCGTATACGGGCTCGAGGATCCGACCGGTTCCGAGCATTCCCAAATCCTTCGGCGAGCAGGTATGGCTTGTGGTTTGGCCGTTTGGCGGTCTGGCAGCTCGAAGTGGCTCCCGTTCTGAACTGACCATTTTTGTGTTTGCTGTCGTTTGTGGCCAATGAAGTGTCATGCCGTTTTAGTGTTTGAACGCGCAGCAAATGCAATGCGAGGCGCCCTGACTGCCCGCTTCATACGGGCTATCCAGAACATGCTTTAGTGGCGCCCTCTCGAGCCGTCGTCACGGAGTGCGCCAGCTGTGAGCGCTCGCTGAGCTCACTAACCCTCCTCTAGTTTACGGCTACTCAAGCGACCAAGGACGTCATGAATGAGGTTATCTTTTGCTTGTTTTTGTAATTTTATTTTGCCTATAATTTTTTAAAAAAAGCGAAATTCGAGAAAAAGGTTTATTAAGTTACTACGGTGTCAGTGCGCTCAGGTTCGGTGCAAATTAAAAACCAGTAAAAAAGTCCTTGCAGGGCCCCTTTAAAAAGACAGAGAAATGTAAGAAATGTATGGGCTCCGGGAAAACGGAGATTAAAGATAGGCTTGCCATCACCAGGATTGAAAGCTACGTGATGGTCAGACCAATTGATCGACTACCTTTTACAACATACCCCACCGTGGACATGGAAAGCCTGTCTTTATTCTCATTTCACCCGGAGCATACACATTTCACTGACGTCGATTTTGAAAGGATGCTGACGTCAATTTCGTAGGATACCGACGTCAATTTGTGACGATACTGACGTCAATTTTATTGCGTGTGTCGGCGGCTGGATTGCTCGTGGAACATGTGTCCACCAGTTGTTAGTCACGCTCAAATATTTGGCTCATCCACCCTTTGATGAGGACAGGGATTGTTTAAATTAGAAAACAAACTACGAGGAGGATAAGCTCTCAAAACGCAGAGTCCTCCTAAGGTTTTATGCCTTTTTGAACACGATTCATAAGCTTAGCAAGCTAAGTTCACAGAAAGAATAGGGGAGTTGACAACCACGAGAAAGACAACAGTGCTTATCCGTGTCCTTTTGCGACTTTCTTTTCCAAGTTTAGTGGTCTCTAAATGCAGTGTTTGGGTAACCTTGAGCAAAGCGCAATATGTATCCTGCGTCAGACCTCCTCGTTATTCACCCATACTTTTGCGAAATTTATCCTAATTTTTTTTTAACGTGAATTCTGGATATAACAACTACGGCGCTTAGTAGATCACTGTAAGATGTGATGTGATTTTCAGTACTGGGACCATTGGTAACAACATATGTAGCTATAGGTAAAAACAAACCAAAATAACATTTTGGTTGTTTAGCACATTCTGGTGTCACTCAAGTGAATACAAATTGCGAAATACGGAAGTGCCTTCGAAAGTAATTCAAATGTTATTCGAAGTACTTGTACTCTAGTCAAGATATATTAAAGTGAAAGTAATTTGAGTAGTACTTTATGAAGCAGGTATTTAGTAACCTATCTTACATAATTTTGACGAATATCTTGTCGAACACTGATTCCTTGTTCATGAGCGAGTAGTATTTTCTGAAAAACAAACAGACTGGGAATTTTTTTTGTTTGTTTTATACGCAAAAGTTGTATTTGTATTTTGTTTTTGTTTTCGACATTCGCAGGGCCGAAGATAAAGGAGCTACGTAACGTTTATACGACCGATTGCGCGACCGCACTACGACAATGAACTTGGCAAGATTATTACGCTGCAATATAGATATTTTAAAAGTGTAAATGGAACAGCGAGCGATTTGTGATTTCCAGAGGAGAGACAAAGTAAGCGATCAGGAACGCAAGCTCAAACCAACCCACTCTATAAGATGAAAACATGAAAACCCGTATCCTTCGGACACTCGTATGAAATCAGTACGCGCCAGTAATAGTTTAAACTTGAGCACAAAGAAACCGAGAGATAACAAATGTGCAGGGATGGGCAGTATTTCAAATACAAGTATTTCAAATACAAGTATTTCAAATACGTATTTCAAACAATTTGTATATTTTGCATTTGCATTTAATTACAAATTGGATAATGTATTTGACGTGTGTATTTAAATACTAAAACGTGGGTATTTCAAATACAATTGTAATTAAATACAATTTTGTGAGCGAAAATACCTCTCAAATTTATTGCCACGACTCATTTTGCTCCTTCTGAGACGTGTTCAAAGCTGCACTTTCTTCATCTCAACGCCAACGGCAACAACAAACAACAACAAACCACGAAACTCTTCATCTCTTCATACACTAGTCCTGCGGCAGTTCGCGTCTCGCTCACCGCGGGCGCCCGGGCGCGCATCGTCTCATGTTGAGACGTTGAAACTGCCAGCCTCCTGCCGCTGCACGCCTTCCCGGAACCCCGACCTGAGGGCGCCGTCTGTGCACCGTCGGGGAGATCGGAATCGAACGCCTCGTGCAAAAGGGAGTCAGGGACGAGCCATCCTTGTAGAAACAGACTCGTTGCCCCCCCCCCCCCCCCCCCCTTCCCGCTCTTTTTCCTACACACACGCGCGCGCGCGCGCACACAGCACACGAAAAGCGAATAGCACAATAAAATATACCCATACCCAGAAACCCGTTGCAGGTGCCCTGATGTCGCTGATGCAAATTTTGAGGAATGTATTTGGAAAAGTAGTTGGAGGAGACCAAATACATTTGGTTGTATTTGTATCTTGTACTTAAATGCTTTTTTTTTGGAAATGTAATTAGATTTGTAATTAAATACATTTTTGACGAAGTATTTTGTACTTGTATTTCGATACATATTTGCATGTAGTTTGCCCATCCCTGCAAATGTGCTATGATTGAGGGAGGAAACGCTCAAAAAGTGCCAGTCCCAACGAGGTAAACGAAGACGAACTGGCCGCACGGGGTCATGCGTCGCCTTTTCTAGGAAGTCGAGGCCTATTACGAGCCAACTACAGGCAGAAAAAAATTTGGGCGATCTGAATCAAGCTCTGGGGTTGGCGCTGTTCCAAAACGACGAGGGAAAAGAAATCCGTGTTGATCAAACGGCCTTGTCGCTGACGTGGGCTCCAGGAAACGTCGATCCCTTAGCGCGCCAACACGACGGATGGAATTTGCACTTAGAATCCATCCAAAGGCCTAAATCTCGAGGTATACCTGGATAAGCTTGATTATCTTTTTGATTTCCGATGGCGTGTAGTAAAGGAGGTGAGACATCTTGAGCCCATCCAGATCTGCCACACCCACGACGCCTGCAATTTGGGCCATCTGGTTCAGCAGACCGCATTCTGACACAACCAGGTTTGCTCTGATGTACTCGTTCAGCGGGCAAACTGTCGGGTTCCAGGCACCTAAAAACATTGAAGTAGAACATAGTTGCTAAATAACAATGTTGCAAGAAAAGCAGTTGTTGATTATAGAAAAAAACATTAAAAACTCTGCGTGTATATTAAATAACCTATGAATATTAATTCCAAGAGTTTGTTCTGTTTGACTTCTGTGTCCTAGACCTTTTGATCAGGAACACGCTTTTTGACTCCAATTCTAATTAAACATAGAAAACTCGTTCCTTAGAGCATCGGACTTACCAAATTTTGCTAAGAGAATCCCCCTCCCCAGAGAATCAGGTTTCTTGAGAAGAGTCACCAGCTTGTTTTGGTGGAATATTGCGTCAAACATGATGCGTGATGGCAGTAGGTTATCGAAGATGTCCGCGTGCTCCAGCCGGACGCGGAAATACTTCCGGATGTTCTCGAATGCTTCTTCCACGCGGTACTTGCGGCCACGCAGGAACTTCACGAGAAACTCTTCATCCAGGGGACACTGCAGTTGCGATTCCTCTGTAATGAACGTAGCAAATGCAGTCTGTTTGGGAGACTCGTAGTTCACAGGTCTCTAAGGAAAGAACAAGAAGATTAGCGATCTATAAACGTTTGCATGTTTGGCCTTTGAGCGCGGTCATTTTGGTGCTAGAGTGTACAGTCGGCACTGAAAATGGTTAGCAAAAACGAACGATTGCCGGGCCAGCGCAAGAGAGACCAGCGGCACTGCAGTCACGCCAACGCAAAGTCATGAAAATTATCTGGCGAAGGCCACTTCTGTGGCAAGGGGGAAATCGGCAGACAGCATCAGCCGTTCCCAAAGCACGCTTTCGGAAGGCCGCTGTTTTGCCTTAAGTTATTCTATGTATGTGTGGTGTGCTAAGCATTTGTTACCGCCACGTAATATATTCCGGGGATCCATTTTATCGAGATAAATCAATTTCTTGCGCGAATTAAGTCGTTCACAGTATATTTCTGGTATCTTTTTGATAAACTGCTTTTTATTACGTACTTTTCGGTCTTTCGTTGCTTAGTTTTCTCGTACTTCAGTTTATTGTTTCTTCCTGCGTGTTCCAGACACGTATCGAAATGTTTGATGTGTAAAACTAGTCAAAGATTAAACCAAATCTGGAATCCTGCACAATCGACCGTGCAAGTCATTTACATCTCTTTTTTTCAGAAGCTGTACACGTTTTTTTTTTTTTTTTTTTTCTTTCTATTTACCGGCGAGAAGTTTTCGCAGTTGTTCAACGGCGTCCCTCCTGACTTGCGGTGTTTCACCAAGCTCTCGCTGAGCTGCGAGCTCCAAGTCGGAGGACAGTCTGTCCATGACGAAATTGGGCAGTCCGCTTGGTCGGTTCTGAAAGTAAAGTCAAACGCAAGTGTCTACGCCTCTGCAACAATAGGCTTTTTCGAAAAGACTTGGCGCCACCAATAATCTTATCTACGCACTACGGCAATGCGATCTACGGCATCTGTAGGAGTAGCCACGAATAAAAGGAGTGAGACATGTTTGTTCATAATTTTACGATTTCGGAACGCAAAAAAAGGAGGACGATAGCAAAACAGGATAGCCATAGTATCAGTGATTTGGTCACTTTATATTTATGCTCTGAAATCACAGAGGTAAGAAAGAAGGAATGACGTCGCTTCTATGAGGTACGAAGCGCACGAGACGGCCCGAGCGTACATCGTAACTACCCCACAGCTCCCCAAACCGCGCGGTGCAATGTAGAGCTGATGAGTTACCTTGTGGTATTTTCCGGAAAGTGTTATTCACCAAGGACTGGCACAAAAGTATAGCGTGACGCGCGCGCCAATTTGCAACGAATCCCTACCATTGCTGAAGTGCAACGCTGTCAAAGATGGTTACGCAATCCTCTTTTGATGAAACGTTTGGTTTGCGCGCAATATTTTCTAATTGAGATGCTCTACGGATAGAAAGTAGTATATTATGATACACGATTGAACAGATAACGATCAGACATGTGTTTCCGATAGCGGAAACAGATCCATATCGGAAACACATGATGATTGTTATCTCCTGAGTGGTACACTTTTAATACTACTATAGAATTTGAGGATGGCGCGCGGGGACGTCAGAATGCCAAGCTCTGGTTGAAATGACTTGTGGGTAGCCGCAAAGCTGGCTGCCATTTCCTCTACTCACTCTTTGAACTCATTTAAACGCGACCGCCGAATGCCGAACGGCGAGCGTCGTTGTTCGAACACGTTTGAACTTCGAAGAGTGAATAAAGAGACAGGCCGCTATAGATTTGTGCCTGCCCACTGCCTACACCCGTCCACGCGAAATCTCGCCTCCTCCTCTCCCTTGGTTTCTATCAGCATAGTGACTCCTAGCTTGAGAACGGCAGGTAGGATCTTCGGTTCTCCCATTTTCAGCGTGAGTTTCCAACACTCGATGACGCTTCAGCGTCTGGAGAGCGTCCAGCGTGAATACGCATACAAGGCAGACCAAACCCAAGCAGCACGAATGTCTTATGGAGGTGCACAAGACATCTTTGGAACATTAGAACAAATAAGGGTATTCACAGAACTAAGGGTTCTACGAGGCACGTAGCCATGATTTTGTTTCGGGGGGGGGGGGGGGGGGGGGGGGGGGGGGGGGAGGGCGAGGGCGCCCATGACAAAATGCTGTATGAAGGGGAGGGGGAGAGGAGGTCCCAGCAAAATTAAAGATTATGGTGGGGAGGGGGGGGGGGGGCCCATGGACCGTCCCCGGGTTCCGTGCCTGGGCTATACTAGAATCGGTGACAGGTTTAGAGTGAAGTGAAAGCACCTCCCACCTCTTTCCACTTTAGCAAAGCGTACGTAGGATAGGAGGCGACCTCCTCTCCAGCGTTCACTCTCTTACCGCTCATTCACACTGGAAGCGGATCCGCCTCCCTCGCTCATTAAAAGCAGAAAGCATATACACGAACTCATGTTTACAAACAAACCCGAGCGCCCCTAGCGGACGCCGCTGGCGCGGCGCCTGCGCGATGGAGTGTGGGCAAGAAGCTCGCCGTCGCCAATAAACAAGCCATTAGAATGTGATGTTGTCGGCATGCTCTTTTTTGCGTTGAAATTGTTGATTCTACGTCTTCATGGAAAAGTCTGATCACTTTATAGGCCTCACCAAAATACTAGAGGCTCGGTACACCGCAAAACTTCGCGTGAAAAATGTGACATGCTGCGATTTATTCTGCGGGGATGCCGCAGAATGGACGGTAGAGCCTAAATGGCATGATCAGATTCTGCTCGCCATTTTCAGTGGCGACGTCGCTCGAGCTGCAAAAGCGTGAAACGTAAATGAGATGGCCGACGTCTATACTGAAGATCGCAAGCCGAACGGACCAAGTGGATCAGGCATAACAAGTCGGTGATGGCCATTGGAAACAATGATCAACATCTGCACTGTATATATCTACTGTTTGCAGAGAGCCTACTTGCCCCAATTATCCTTCAAACTTAACATTACTTCGAATCCCGTACTTGTTATCGCAGTCACCTGGTCAACGTTCGGCCTACGGGCCGCTCGTTTGAACAAGCAGACGACAACAAGCAGAAACGTTTGAGAGAGCAGACGAGAGCTCGAACGATCAGGCGGCCATTTGAACTTGTAGACGCACTGACCGTACACCACAAGTGGTCCCTACAACTTAGTGGTTTGCCCGCGTTCATGCTCGAACAAAACAAATAAACCTGACAACCAGAAGTACCCGTGAATTCAACCCAAAGTGCTTCCCGCACAAGCAATATAGTGGTCCGGCGGCGTCTGGTTTTCTTTTTTGTGGTACCTATCCACGTTCTCAAAAGAACCGAGCACGCAGCCAACACACGAAAACTAACCTTCAAACCTTCCCCGACTCTTTCGGCACAGCCCCTTTTGCAGCGTTTTGGCGAGAACGCAAGTTTTTGTCTTGTTTCTTCAAAGAGGACGCAGGAATGCACGTCCTGCATGCTGACTTCTGGTGACTTCGGAAGTGCGCCCGACACGCCACCACCCCGCCGTGACGTCACAGAGCTGAGTTCGTGTATTGGGAAACGGAGACCGAAGACAATGGGAGTTTAAGGGAGGCATTTACTTGGATCGAGGGACGTTTTAGCGAACACCCTTGTTTCACCGAATGACACTTTAGCGAATAATCGGTCGCCGCGAAGCGGCGTTTACGGGTGGGCCAAGTGGGTTCGCACTTTCGTAATGAGCAGGCGTAGACTGTCGCCGCGAAGCGTCTTGAGCACAGGGGGAGGGGGGGGGGGGGGATAACATACGCTTTCGTTTTTTACTAAAGCGTCGATTCGCTGAAATTTCGCTGTCCGCTGCAACGTCATTCGCCCATGTGATGAAGGAGAACGCGACTTTGAATGAGAACGCGACCTTGACGCAAAATGCGGAGGTTTGCCGGTCCTCGCGCTAGTACCCTCGCATACGTAGTAAGGCTAAGGTAGTAAGACCAGTAAGTCGCCCTGTGGCGTTCGCCATATGGGAGCGTCTTGCTGCGAGCGGCGTTCGCGCGCGCGTTTTCCCGCCAGTGTTACCGTATCTTCACGTACCGCGGAAACCCATTTCAATCCTGCGTTCTAGTTTGAGCAGGCCCATGAGGAGGCGTGACCAAAACGGAGCAAAGCAATGCTCCTACTAGACCGGTAAAAATTCGCAGCACTCACCTTAAGACAGAAACGATCTAACAGGGAAAACCAACGTCCACATCCACGAACAACCGTTACCCGGCATCTATCTTGAAAAATTAGCTCCGCTCCGATATTACCACCGAAGAAGGCATGGCGCGCGTTCATCTTTGCACTAAAATTACAAACAAATATAGCTGTATTCCTTAAATTCACGAACAAAATATTAATGTGTTAAATGCGTTCTCAGAACCGCCTTTCGTGAAGTGGAGGAACACCTGGTTATCCGATAATGTAACAACAGAAAATGACTTGCTTTTTCGTTGAACAGGTTTCCGTTAAAGACCATTAAGTATATTTTCTGTATGACAACAAAAAATGGCTGTAGAAATGCACGTAGTTTCACACAATTTGTTTTAGTGTACTTTCGAGACGTCTTGTGTTTGTCCCCTTCTTCGTCCGTCGTCTCAATTTTTCAAATATGTGTTACATCAACCAGCTCGCCTGTTTACTTACTCTTTCTTCAAGCTCATTATTTTTATTTTTGCAAAATTATTTTTTTTACAGGGTATCGTTCATTCCTTCTAACTGGAAGGTTCAGTTATCGTCCTGAAATTCCTGGCTCCGTGGTGATGTTCACGCAAGGTTTCACCAGTTTGTACGCAGTTACTTTTTTTAAGAGATGTATTATATGTTTGTTCTCAAAAAATAATGGAAGTGACTTACGGGACTTAACACTTTTACCAAGGATTTTTACTGCAGCACTCTAGCATTCACGATGTGCGCAGCGCTGCTTTATGTCGTTTCTTGCAGCGTCATCTCGCGATGAATGTTACGTCAGATATCAGCGCGACACTGCCAACCGACATTTAGAAGCTCTTAGCAACCGACAAGTATATCAAGAGCATTGCTCCCGTTTCATGTCGCGTCGGTACGACGGCAAATCCCCTGCTAACCACATGCGCAACGAAGGTCAGATCACTGAGGATAACGGGACTTCTATTTCCGCAAGAGCTAAAAAGCATGCAGCAATGGTGGCGAATCCATGGCAGCTGTCGGGCTTGAGGCTTTTGATAGTATGGCAGCCTGAATGTCACATTGTTCTAAAGACTGCAATCGGGATGTCGGGTAAAGATAATTAATCATCTGTATTCCGTTTAACTGTCAGTGATACGCCAAGGATTCACCCACTCAAACATAACTCATGCCGCGTCCGAATAAATCAGCTTGCCTTCTTTGATCAACTAACTGTCGGTTGGGTTGTTCTTGATATTGAGTACGCTTACCTTACACATATTTAACGCATGTCGACATAACCCTTCACCTTTGTTTTCTTTCGCAAGGAAAATACGTACTGAAAGAAGTCTAAAAAACATGGTAACGCTCGAAAACAAGGAGAAAAGGAGCTAAAGTTGGTAGGACTGTGCGCAGAGTGCAATCCTCCTTTTGGCTTTGTCTTCGGGTGCTAGCACGCATCCTCGAATTCAGCATCAACTCGCCCAACAATCATCACTAAGGAATTCATATATTTTGGGTCAATGTTCTCTGGTTTGTACACGGAGATTAGACGTCTACGTTAACTCCTTTCGAGCGACACGTTAGCTTAAAATTAGGATAGCGCATTGTCATTGTCATTCAGAAAACGCAGACATCTTTTCTCCGAACTCTCAACTGAAACAACAAGCTTCCCTGACATTATACACGTTTGCAAGTGCGGCCATAGGGCGCCGCCATCTTGCTCCGTTGGGGTGCGCTTGGGTGGGTCATAAATCTGGTTACGAATACCTAGGAAGGCGTCGTAATCGGATTATGACGCGTCACGCGTGTGTTGGGAAAAAATCCCCTGTCTTTTTCCGGCATATGAATACCGCTTTATACACTAACCAAACAGAAAATTTAACCTTAACGAACTCACCAGACCCGGTTAAAGGCCGACGTACAGCCTCGGTTTTCTGCAAGGAAGCGCCCTCCTCTCCTAAACTGCGAGGGAGGCCAAGTTATGGCAAGGTGAAGAGTGGAAAGGATATAGGAAAGGGAAAGGCGGCTAAAATTTGAAAGTCCTAAGTGTGCGTCAAAGTTTAAATACAGGAAGGCTGCCAGATGCAAAGCGAGACTGCAACCATACGAAGACGCGCTCGCACAATATGGAAGCACAAGAAGCCTGCCAAATTTCTCTGTGTTACGTAGATTGCGCGCAAGCAAGACAGAGGGATATCGAGGTCGCCTTTGTTATATGTTTAAAGTATTAGTGAGACGCGTGACGAAATGACGTGAAAGCACAGAACTTCGCCGCCGGGCGTGCCACATTCCGACAGGATCAACTTCCGAGTCAGCCCCACAGACACGAAAAGTACGACATTTCCGCTGCCAACTAGGACCGAAACAACAAAAACTTATTAAGGCAGAACCATATGGGGCGTATTTACGACGTATTTACAGGCGTTTCGGTGGACGTAATGCCGACGTATAGCGGGCGTCGGGACGAGCGCTTCGTCAACGCCTCGAGGTCGGCGTAAACACGCGCATATTTGGCGATTTGACCGAGACAAGTCTCCGCGTTCCGGCGTATTTCGGTGTGGCGTATCCGGAAGCGTACGTCGCGGTGGCGGCCAATCAGCTGCCGAGTTGACGGCCGGAAGTTGCAAGAGGATCGGCTTGCCTAGCGTTGCGACCGGCTGGCTGGCTTTACTCAGCCGCCCAAATGTGAGCTCACTTGGCGCGTTCGACGATTCATTGGCGAACTGTATGGAAATCTATATACCTCTTTGGAACGAGCGATGAACGACTGAGACAAAAGAAAATACCCTCTATGTGGCGGGCGATGTGAAAAAAAAAATGATAAAAGGAAGGGTTTTGAAAAGAGATCGCGGCCGTCCTCCTGCCGGGACTTATTGGCAACTTGGCGATTGGAAGGAACATTTACGTAACAGGCGTTAGTAAATTAGGCTTTCGTGGTTTATTAACATTTAGTTATTTCTGTCCCCTTGCGGAACGCAGTAATATAGCAACCGATCTACATTTTCCCTCCTTTCATGAAAAGCACGAGTGGGGCTACACTGCACTAAACGCCGAGGAGACGTCAACGAAAAGCGCCGTGCGAGGTTTGGCGACCTTTCCTTCTTCCATTCCTTCGATAAAGCGCCCGACAAATGCCGTGATTAAGTACCCTGAACCGCGCGTAAATTCGTCAGTTTTTGCACGCAGCACACGCTCTTGATAAAAAAAAGCTCTGATGCAAATTTATCACTTATTGAAAGTTCATTAGAGCAAATATCTAGTCGACGCAGAGAGCCTCTTCAGACTGCTTCTGGGTTGCAGCTTGGCGACGAACTAACATGAGATGGCAGCGAGCCAACCGTCGACCGAAAAAGCGTTCAGAAGCAAAGCAATTTTATCGATGCATCGTCCTTGTTTTTAGTTGTCTTGATATGGAGGAAAATCAGAGGCGACTAGACGTACAGTATAGACATCGCGAGTGAGGATAACAGAACCGCCATGGCCGCGCACACCAAAGGGTGCACGGCGCTGGTTAAAAAAACTTCCTGCATCTAGCGGCTGCAAAGCCGACAAGTGGGTTACTTTTGACAGCATGTCGCGCGTGTCCAAGCGCTGGATACCGGAACGTGTGGGGGACGAAAAGAAATACTGACAATGTAGCACACATGGATTCTCTGTCTTTTACATTATTATCCTTGATTTGCTCGATCGCACATGTTATTTAATACTGGGTATTTCTAATTTATTCGCTTACATATAGTGATTATCTGACTGTCGAATGGTATGTTCTAAAGGGCATGCATTTCGATTTAATTTGCCACTTTTTTGCTGATCAACACCTTCGCCATGTCCCTTCCGCGAGTTAGTGATAAAAGAATATACTTGTTGCGAAATTTTGCTCGCGCGGCTGTTTAGTCTAGTTTCACATTATGTTTTTGCCTTCTCCGAGAGTTCGTCCCGTCTCCAAGGGACGGATCATGGGGCATCCACTTCGGTTTCTTTTTTGTTCCGAAGCGGGTGAAAGCGCGTCTCCCGGTACGAGCTCTTAGTATTGACAGTGCTAGTGGCGCTACGACAGCAATTTGTTATCGGCGAATTGTTTTTGTTTTCCCAGAGAGCTCGTTGAGGGGGCTTCGGGAACTACACAAACCCTAAGAACGCTAAGGCGTAGCTCTGTGATAACGCCTCCGCTTCTTACGCAACGGACCCAGGTTCGATTCTCGCGGACAGTGAGTGATCTTCTTCAAGGATTTGCCCACGACGAATACCCCACTTCCTATTAAGTCAACTAGAACATCTACTACAACAACAGCATCAACAACTGCAACAACAACAGTCGTCATTTCCAGTGGTGAGAACAGCCCTTTAAAGCAATCGCTGTAAAACATTGTTTTTTCATCCGCCGAAATTTGCTCCCGCGGATTACATACTAGGTGCGAACGATAAAACGTAAAATGTTGAATTTCACCCGCTTTCAGGCTTACAGCACTCACCTCGTCGACGCGTGAACCGAAGACAGCCGTTCGCCGCTGCGCGTGTTGTAAACCTTGGCACTCGGATTCAAAGCGCGTGCTCGCGCATATCTCAGCCACGGCAACTGGACCCCCTTGCTGAGGTTCGAGTGGCCGTGTATCGTGTATCCGCTTTTGCGTTATTCAGGGTGAGAAGGAAAGACCGAGAGAGAGGAGAAGCTGCGCTTGCCACTTGTCGTCCTTCACTTCGTTGGAGCACAGCGCAGTGCAGGTTGTTGTTGACACGGTTTAGTTACTTGAAAATAAAATGAGCCACCGGCTTGCTGAAGAGAAAAAGGAATGTCGTTGAAGAAAGGAGCAAACAAATACTTTATTCATGTGAGAAGGTGCCGTGGGGAGAGGGAGATTGTACAAAAAAGACAGAGAGAAAGATTTTGAAAGGAAGAAAGTGTTAAGTGTACAAAGTAAGGCTTGCTTGCTGCCAGGGCGGACTTGAAATCTGCCCTTCTGACATCTTGAGACCGTTTCAGATGTTACGGCAAGGGAGCGGAGCGCGGGAAGTTCAAAAATGATCTCGGGTTTTGAAAGAAGTACTGCCTAACATCGAGGAAGTAAAATTTTCGTTCCGTCAATTCGTAGAGCCCCGTATATCGACGGATTACCCGCGAATCATTCACGGATATCCCCAATAAACAGGCGGATACGGATACAAATGAACCAGATTTGCAGGGCTGCCTATGTATGCGAACCCTCAGGGGCGGCGGATACGGATCTGATGCGGATATCCGCGGGTCCAGATCTACATTTTTGTCGAGGAGGCCCATAAACGTGTGCGACCACAGATTGTACAATGAACAAGTGAGGAATACTATGAAGTGCGTCATCGAACGTAATGCGGCAGCAAACTACTCCATTAGATAAAAGGTGCCAGTCTGGGAGAAAACTGTACATTGCGTCAAGAAAGATTTGATTCACGCCGAAGTTCGCTTTAGAACGTTTTATCTCGCCAAAAATGTTGTCCCTAGAAAAAGTAAAGAATGCAGGAGCATCAGTCGTCCCGGGAAAGCGTGTTCTTGTTTAGCAGGGAATGAAAGAAAAATTGTCTTTGACCAAAGAAAACCCAAAAAGTACAAGCCACAGGAAAGAAGAAGAAGCCTCCACGTGCTTCTTTGGTAGATCGAGGAGACTGCATTCGATCTTCTGGAGTGGCGGAACTTGCGCCAGCACGAGTTTCCGTACCTTATTCTTGTAGCGCAGTTTGTGCATGCCATCCCCGCATCGAGTGCGTCAACGGAGAGGTACTGCTCATTAGCAGGTATTAATTTAAGAGACGCGAACCAGTCTGAAATCGTCTATGGTGACGATATTCTGTTTCTTCTAACAGCAACATCGACAAGTGAAATGTCGCGTGTGTGTCCATTTTCTTTTTCTCGGCAGGAGGTAGTAAGTTGATTTTAAGTATATGGTTCCGAACATGCAGTTGAGGGTTCGTCTTTAAAACTGAAACCGATAAGAGGTGTTGCCATTATTGAATGTTGTGATATGTTCCAATAGGTGTACTCGCGCCTTATCACATACACACGAGCACGTTGTTGCGTAGAATAAGCGCTTTTCCTCTCCCACTTTTCTTACTGTTTGGCCTAAATAAAATGGAACAATGTTATTAGTCTCTCATTTGTTAATTTTTATGTTTATAAAACAGGTATCTGTTTGAGAAGGGATTTACAAAGCACAAAAGAAAAATAAATATTAAAATGTTCTTCCTTTTGAGTGCTTCTTCTGGAGAGAGTGTCGCTGTCACGGACTCTCAAGACGACCTCATAACTGCGATCATCTTTCCAGCAATGCGAAGTGTCTCTGGAAGGATGATCTCTTATTGTATAAATACAATAAAACGGAATATGATCAAAGGACTTTCACTGTATTCTTACATGAAGAGTTATTTGCATAAAGGTAAGCCGACGGCTTCTAAGATACCATCCAGGTGCTTTTTTAATTTTTATTCATGCTTGATTTTATGATGTAAAATGCATAAAATGAATGCGTGAATTGAAAGTCGGGTGCGGTTCCGAATTTCACAAATGCGGTTCGGATGCCGACACAAAGTCTGCGGATGCGGATCGGACGGGGATAATTTAATTAATAACATAGCAGATGCGGAGTCAAATGCGGATGCAAGGTCTGTGGATGCGGATCGGATCCGGATAACCAAACTGTTATCCGCGCAGGGCTCTATCCATTCGGTAGCCCTTTCGGTAGCCTATTACCACCTGTGACCTTCCACGTCCAATCATAAAAAGTTTCGAAACTACCAACGACATCCGAACAGTCGCCTGTGGGAAGCCACTCGTAAAGGTAGTTTTCTTCCCATCCTAGCGGATGGCTGCATCCACGTTTGAACTTGAATAGCAGAGCAGTGAAAGCACCGGCCAACATCATGAACCGAGAATCGACTGATCACAACACTCCTGGACAACCCAGCATGTCGAACGACTCAACGCACGATCATCATGACACCACGTGAACATTCTGAACGTCCGAGTCAGTAGCAAACTCATCCGAGACCGCGGTCGAAAATATGGAAGAAAGCAACATCGACAACGAGGAGTGGAACGAGGCACGATCACATAAGCGCTCACACAAAACACTGTCCGACTCTGGTTCGAGTTCGGGAAAAGCTTGCAAACAACCAAACGTCTTTGAAGAACTCACAGTGGACATGGTTAAAACTTCGCACAAATAGAAAGGAACAGTGGAGAGAGGAGAGACAAGAGACCAATCTCTCCTCTCTTCTTTCTCTACGGTCCCTTTCTATCTGTGCGCAATTTTAACCATGTTCAATCATTACCGACTCACCCAACTAACCACCTGACTACAACTCACAGTGATCTTTGCCGCTGCGGAGCCTGACTAAAAGCTAGCAACTTTAAGCAGCTTGAGGCTCTCCAACCCCCAAGGGAAGCTTTGTCCCGAGTGTATCCTTCAGATCCGCCCCAACGAGCGCCTCAACGTCGTCGCCGCTATGTGTGCAAAGGCCAAACAACAAGAATGCTGTTGACATGTCCTGAACTCTGTGATGTCTCTGTAAGGGCCCACCAATTGTTCGGGGGTCCCACATGGATTGGTGTCATCAAAAATTTAGGAAATCTATGATCGGGTGGCCGCATAGCCAGGGTACGTCGCCTTGGGGGACGGGTGTCATAAAGCTAACATTTTACAGTTTATATTTGCCCAGTTTCGTGCTGCTAGGACGAGTACGACACAAAGTGACGGAATTCAAGCCCTGTCCAATTCAGCGTCGCAACTTCGGTGGTTGCAACACTTTGCACATTCATGCATACGCGCTTCCGTATGCTATCTTTCGTTGTGTAGAGCTGCATTCTATAACTAACACCACGAGCAGCACCAAAAAAAATCCACAGTGATTAAGTTCGTCAACTATGGAGAAGCACATGAGGCTACACCTCCAGCATGTTCAAAATGGAGAGAAGAGCAAAAGGTCATAGCGTACGGGAAGAGAAACGCCGTTGACTTCCGGTCTACCAGACTTATTGTAAAGCATACATCGGGAGCTCCACAATAATGCGTTCACAATATGAACAAAAAGTAAGGGCGCGAACGAGCTGGTGTACATTGCACATGGTTGAAACCAGGTTTGGAAAATAAAAATTTCAGCTGTGTTAGAAACTTTTTAGTGTTGTGTCGCTTACCCGCAGTATCGGGTTTTTTTCAACCATGTTCACAATATGGTCGCCGACAGCGCCTGCAAGGGAAGTGGAGAAGCTCCAGTGCAGGACGCGCAGGCACCAGCCCTTGACGATAAGGGATCCAGCTATGCCGAACCACTCAGGACACGACCTCAAACACATGTCAAATCACCGCTTAATAACAATTCTGCAACAGCGCCTAGTAAGCCACAACCCAGTGTCATTATTCTCACGGGCGCTGAAAAGCCAATGTGCAACGGACGCAGGAGCTGTCAAAGAATTTGAACACTCAACGGGAGTCATCAAAATTAAACGAACATCAACAGATGGTGCTTCAAGAAGATCACCGCGGGAAGTTCCATAGAAACCTACGGCGAACTTGAAAAAATTATTTGAAATTGCAGCTGAAATGACATACGCTTATATCGATGGCATTGCTGTGGGAACACATCCTATGTGGTTTTATTCAGGCATGCGCTCCCACTGCTGAATATTGTGACGAATGACAAATGATGAGGCGGCGAATAATGGGAGAAACTAAGCATGTAATGAGGCGACTTTGAGCCCAATACAGAAGAAGTTTAGCGTCACAGGCGTCGATGCCGGTGGAACAGCAGGATCGAGCGCTGGGGCGAGACTGCCACCGGCTCGCCACGCGGAGCCCCATATGTACATACATCCGTGGGCTTCTGGAACAATCGGCGTAGAATATTCGTCGCGCAGAACATCCGGTCCCGAAACAAGTGACGGGGCTTTCGGAATCACCACGACGCGAAATTCACAGAAATAACGAAAACGTGCGTCGGCTCTCAAGCATCGAACCTCGGCTCTTTGCGTGGGAGCCAAGCATAAAAAACATTCGGCCACGGGCGCGCTTGCTCGGGAACCGAGCGTGGCATTATTCCATCTTTAAAAATAGCATTGTCTGGACGAATCATGCAAGGAAACAAAACAAAGTAAAAGAAACAAAGGAATGCGAAATACGGATGCTGGTAAAACAGTTGTGTCAAGCGTAACACGGAATCACATTTCAGTCTTATCGTGCGGAGTACGGCTTGAGGCGCACAGGATGACTTCAGGTCGTGGTCGGCGGCGTGACGATGTTCTCCCGTCGGGCATCACCTCCTAGTTCATATCGCGGAGTCCACGAAGTAACTTGTAAGGTTCGAAGCAGGGATGGGCAGTATTTGAAATATGTATTTCAAATACTTTGTGTATTTTGCATTTGTATTTAATTACAAATTGGCTAATGTATTTGACGTGTGTATTTAAATACTAAAACGTGGGTATTTCAAATACAATTGTAATTAAATACAATTTTGTGGGCGAAAATACATCCCTCAAAACTACGTTCTGCACCCAACGCAGTGTCCCTCAATCAACACAAGCGTTTAGTGACTTTGTGATTACGGTGCTAGTCCAGGGCAA